GTATTTTTTTTTTTTCTTATAAAAACAACTATTTGAAAAATTGATATCAACATAGCTAGGATTGATCTTTTGGACTATTAGAATCATGAGATGTTTATGTTTGTTAATCTCAAAAGTAAAATGAGAAGAACACTTCCCTTTTTTCTCCAAATGATGATGAATAGTGCAATTATACTAATGATTTTCAATAGTGAAAATCTCCATAACTTTGATAGAATTGATGATGACAACCAAATTCAATTAGATAACACCGATTATTTTAAGATTTTGAGTCTAATTTAAACATTAAGACTTTGGTTGTTTGAAGAATTAATATTTAAATTTTATTTTTTAGATTTAATGTCCAAGTTTATGGTTAAGATCATTTTAATTATTTATATGCTTCTATGGTTATATATTATGTTTTAGACATTAAAAGCGAATGCTCAAATAGTTTACGCAATGCGGTACGCTATTTACGCCACGCAATATAAAGACCAAAACACGGCTTATTGCGCAATGCGTGTTTTGAAACACTAATTTCAGTAGAAACATAAAAGAAAAATAATATTTTGGAGGTAAAACCACAAAATTTGAAAATAGAACCAACAAGTTGGACTGGGCCATCTGATATTAATATAATCAATCTTTCTTGAAAAATTAATTTACCACACTAGCATAGTTGATAAAATTATATTTATTTATTTTATTGATCATTAGCATTTCATTTTCCGAAACGATAGATGATATTATAACACCAAATGTACAAGAAATACAAGTCGAGAGCCAACTGGCCCGAATCAGAGAGAGCCACTCACACCCGAGAGCTCTAGAACAACAACTACACACAAACAAAGACACATGCTAAGGCCAAAGATGAACCTGACACCCTTAGCATTGCCAGAAGAAACAAACTAGCAGCCAACTAGAAGGAACTAAGCAACAAGCAACAAACACTACAAATGTACAAGTATTCCATTACTGTCACTTATCATGTTCTGTGTATATTTATAAAGTAAAAATGACAATTATAATAGGGTGTTGTTATTCACCGCCCCCCATTTTACTAGTCACCGCCCCCCTTGGACAATTTTGCCCTTCTCATTTTTTCTAAACATTTCAGAGGAAAGTGTACGGTGAAATGTCGTCAAATTCGGAGGTACGAAAAAATACGTGTCCGGCCGCCGGTTCCGGACAGCTTATAGCCCGTCCGGAACCGGCGTCCAGACGGCATAAAGACCGTCCGGAACCGGCGGCCGGACGGTTTAAAGCCCGTCCGAAAAGCTTGGCCGGTCGGACCGGCCCCGTCCGGACCGGCCGGCCGGACGGCAACAAAGCCGGCCGGAAACGTCGGCCGGTCAATTTTTTTTTTTTTTTTTTAATTTCAAAAT